GAGAGAAGAAGACAGAAGATAGATAGATAGATAGATATAGATATATATGTACGTATTTATCCTGTAGCAACACAATATAGATTTTGCCGGGAGGGAAAGTAGACGTCGATCGCCTTCGAGTTCTGAGAATATTCACCTCCGCAAACCGTTCTCTTGAAGCCTAATGCATATTTCCTGTACTGCGCGAGGGTAAGAATCTGCTTAAGTATTGATCTTTTTTCGTATTTTCGTTTTTATTTTCGTGTTTTTATATTTTTTCGCTTTTTAGTATTTTTCGCATTTTTTTCGTTTTTGTGTGTTTTCGTTTTTTTTTCATTTTTTTACTTTCTTTCTTTCTTTCTTTCTTTTTTTTTTTTTTTTTTTTTTTTTTTTTTTTTTTTTAGCTTGATGGGTATTATTGTTTATTGTGAATATAGTGAATCGTGATACATTTAGGAATTGTTGGGTTTTATATGAATTAAAGATCCTATTCGGGTTTTATAGGGTCGAAGAATGTGTTTGTGTATGTAGGTGTTTCTGTAAATCGGATAATATTGTTTGTTTATCAGGATCTTACCTTGTTTTGATTATAAAACAGTCAACAAAACAATGACACGACCATGTAATAGATACTTTACCAAACCTATTCAAACAAACAAACAGCTTTACTCCAACACTACTTCCTACTTTACGTCACTCACTCCAAGAGACAAACAAGCAAACAGCAAACAAAAACAAGCTAGGAAACAAACAAACAAAACAAGAAACAAACCACAAACAAACAACAATAACAAACAACAAACAAACAAAAAACTAACACAACAAACAACAACAAAAACTAACACAAACAACAAACAAAAATAAACAAACAACAATCACAAACAAACAAACAAACAAAAACCTCCAAGCAAGGACACCCACAACGAACAAACAAACACACAAACGCAATAAGGATTCTCTCCCAGGATCAAAAGGGAGAAGGATTGAAGGGTGAAGGTCCCTTGGTTGGCAGGTGGTAATGAGGGAGGGGGTCCCTTGGTGGCAGGTGGTAATGGAAGGGAGGGAAGGAGGAGGGAAGGGAGGGAGGGAGGGAAGGAAGGGGGAGGAGGGAGGGAAGGGGGAGGAGGGGAGGAGGTGGAAGGAGAAGAGGGAAGGGGGAAGGGAGGGAGGGAGGGAGGAAATGAGGGGAAGTGTAGGAGGGAAGGGGGGGGGAAGGAAGGGGGAAAGGGAGGAGGGAAGGAGGGAAGGGATGGAAGGAAGAGGGGGAGGGAGGGAGGGAGGAGGAAGGAGGGAAGGGGGGAGGGAAGGGTGGGAGGGGAGTAAAGGGAAGAAAGAAGGGAAGGGGAATGAGTGGAGAGAAGGGAGGAGGGAATGAAAGGGAGGAAAAAGAGAAGGGAAGGTGGAAGGAGTGTGAGGAAGGAGGGGAGGAAGGGGGAGAAGGAAAAGGAGGAAGTGAAAGGGAGGAAGGAGAGGGGAATAGGATTAAAATGAAGGGGAAAAAAGGAGGGAAGGAAAAGGAGAGAGTAGAAAGGGGAGAATAAAGGGAAGGGAGGAAGGGGAATGAAAAAGAGGGAATGGAGGGGAAGGAGAAGGAGTAGCGTGTTGCGTGTGCGTTCGCGCGCGCGTGTGTGTGTGTGTGTGTTCGTGTTCGTGTGTATAAAGAGCCACTAAAAACAAAATAAGAAAACTCCACACAATATTCAATTTTCATCCACAATAGGAAGCTAAAAGGCGTTTATCATTCTCTGGATTTGACGAAAAAACCGTTGTCTTTGAAGTAAATTTGAAGAGAATATAGGCAGCGACTCGCCTGTAAGTGGTTCAGCTGAGAGGAAGCAGAGAGGAAGATGTGAAACGTTTGTTATGAAAACGTTTCAAGGTTGAATGAGTGATGAGTGGCGTCGGGGGGATGGGGGGTGGGTGAAGGGAGGAGGGAGGGAAGGAGGGAGGGATAGATGGATGGATGGGGGAGGAAGGGAGAGAAGGAGAGAGGTAGGGAGGGAGAGAAGGAGAGAAGGAGAGAGAGAGAGAGAAGAGAGAGAGAGAGAGAGAGAGAGACAGACAGACAGACAGACAGACAGACAGACAGACAGACAGACAGACAGACAGAGAAGACAGACAGAGAGACAGACAGAGAGAGAGAGAGAGAGACCGAGAGTGATGTATAGATAAATAGACAGAGAGAGAGAGAGAGTACCAAAGAAAGAGACAGAGCAAGAGAGATCACACGACGACCTCCAAGTGTCAGACACGACCCCCTGACGACTCAACAGCTGGCGACAGGGGAGGGGGGGGGAGAGGGTGGGGGGGGTCGAGGAGGGTTGTAAATGAGACAATTAAGGAAGCTGATCCCTTTAAAGTCTAATTACGCCACCTCCTTTGGTGTGTCTCCTCCACGGCAATCTTTCCTTCGGGATCTTGCTTTTTCTTCTTTTTATTCATCTTCTTCGTCTTATTATTATTATACTATATGACGTTGTTGTTGTTGTTGTTATTGTTGTTTGTTATTGTTGTTATCATTATTATCATCTATCGTTATCTATTATATATTATTATCATTATTATTTTATTATTATTTATTATTATTATATATTATAATTATATTATTATTCATTGTTAATATGATTATTATCATGATTTCATAATCCCTGTTTATTATTATTTCATTGTTTCTATCATCATCATAATAATAATATCGGTGATAGTAATAATAATGATGATAATGACAATAAAAAGATTATGAAATTATCGTTATGATTACTATTATTATTGTCATTATTACTATTATTATTATTATTTATTATTATTATCATTGTTATTATTATTGTTATTATCATCATCATCATTATCATAATCATTATTATCAATATTATCATTATCATTGGTGTCACTATCATTTTCATTATTATTATTATCATCATCAGGAAAATTATTATTACTATCATCGTTAACATCACGGCTCTCTCTCTCTCTCTCCTCTCTCTCTCTCTCTCTCTCTCTCTCTCTCTCTCTCTCTCTCTCTCTCTCTCTCTCTCCTCTCTCTCTCTCTCTCTCTCTCTCTCTCTCTCTCTCTCCCTCTCCTCTCTCTCTCTCTCTCTCTCTCCCTTCTCCCTCTCCTCTCTCTCTCTCTCTCTCTCTCTCTCTCTCTCTCTCCTCTCTCTCCCTCTCCCTCTCTCTCCTCTCCCTCTCCCTCTCCCTCTCCCTCTCCCTCTCCCTCTCCCTCTCCCTCTCCCTCTCCCTCTCCCTCTCCCTCCTCCTCTCTCTCTCTCTCCTCCTTCCTTGCTTCTCTAAGTAATTACTTCCTTTGGCTCCATATTCACCTTTGAAATGTTGAATGCATCAAATATATGTACAGAGAAGATGATTCATATGGAAATGAGTTGATAGACTTGCACATTTGATATTTATTAAATGGACACAAATACACGAACACACGCACAGACGCACACACATACACGCACATACACACACACGCATACATGCACATACACATACACACATACACATACGCATACACATACAAAAACACATACACGCACGTACACACACACACACACACACACTGTATGCATGATGAGTGAGTGCGAGTGAGTGCGCGTGAGTGTAGAGTGCGTGAGTGCGTGAGTGAGTGTGTGAGTGGAGTGAAGTGCGCTGAGTGAGTGAGTGATCGGTGAAGTGAGTGAGTGAGTGACCGTGACGTGACGTGATGTGAGTGTGTGTTTGCGTGTGTGTGCTGTCTGTGTCTGCGTGTGTGTTGCGTGTGTGGTGTGTGTGTGATGTGTGTCGTGTGTGTGGTGAGGTGAGTGAGGTGACGTGCGTATGAGTGAAGTTGAGTGAGGGTGGATGCGTGGGTTTGAGGTGAGTGAGTGAGTGATGAGTGAGGATTTGTGAGCGAAGTGAATGAGTGAGCGGTGAGTGAGTGAGCGATGTGTGGGAGTGCCTGAGTGAAGTGACGTGATTGATGCGTTGAGTGCGTGATGAGTGCGTGACGAC